ATTTCCAGGTAACATCTGGTAACTATCATAGAAAACAAATGTTAAATTATATGTTAATTGTTAAAATATAATATTAAATAAAATAAAGCAAAACTGTAAATAATTCTCCATCAAAAGCCAAAATTTTTACAAAAAATATTTCATTTTTTTGCCATTTCTGACCATAAAATGAAACTATTTTGTCGTGTATTTAAATCAGCCAAAAAATAAATAAATAAATATTTGACAGATATTTGTTTAATTTAAGTTTTTCTAAACAGTCAATCTTTCATCTTACTTTTATTTTGCTTCACAGTGTGTGACAGTAAAACTATTTTCACAGCATATAAATTATCAAACGGTCTAATTAGTTTCTAAATGTTTTTTGCTCTTTGGATTAAAAACCCTGAAATCGTTTGAACTGTTGTCTCAGATTTTTCATGTTTCGCTAAATCATCGATGAGATCTTGTAAAATCACAGAAAATATTCATTTACATGTTAATTATTAAAAAATAAAACAGGTTGAAAATATAAAATTACAGTTTTTAATCATTTAAAAATAGTTTACAGGATTTAACTGTTATTTTACAGATTTTCCCTGTTTGTTAAAATACAGATAATATCAAGCAAAAATTTTAAAAAAGGATTAATTTGCATGTTGACTGTAATAAAATGTATTTAAATCTGCTTTTTTTAAAATGTATTTTTGTGTGTGTTTTTGTTTTGTTGTTGCTGTTTTGTTTTTTTCTTGTTTTTTTGTTTTGTTTTGTTTTGTTTTTGTTTTTTAAACATTTCTTTTTCAGGTACTGGTGCTGCCAGATCTTTATCCTTAATTTAATTTAATTTAATTTAATTTAATTTTTTAAAGCATTGTAAAGCTGCCACATCTAAAACGGCAAAATCATGACATTTTAATTTTAGTCATTTTTCATTTTTGTATTTTTTTTCTTTTTTTAACTTGTAGGCCCTTTCTTTAATTTTAATTTTTTCATTTATTCATTTATTTTAAATGAGATTTAAATATTTATCCCTGTTCTCCTTCTTTGAATTCAGTTTTTTTTTCTGTGGAACTTGAGGAACATTTAAAGCAGAAACCAACACAGTCGTGCTGCTGTTTGATTTAAACCCAGTTTTTAGGCTAAATTTAATCAGTTTATCAGCGTTAAAGCTCCGGTTTGCAGGAATTCATGTGTTCTGAACTGATGAGACAACAAACTGACGTTCTCGATCACTCCGAGGTTCTCCCAACACGTCCTGTTATTGTTCTGTCTTATTATAACATGGTTCAGGGTCGAAGCTCTTCCTCTGAAACAACCTGCTGTCTGGAGATAAACCGGCTGAGCTCAGCGGTGCAGATCATTTCATCGGGAGGACGGTGGAGGATCTCGGGGCTCCTCTGAGCCTCCTGGCAGCGTCGTGTCCTTTAATAATCCATAAATGTCACCCTGACTGGTGACGGCGACGAGTCATCAGATCGCCCAAATGTCAGCGAGATTATTCAGAGAGCGATCAGCGGCCTCGTTCACTCCTCTCAAGCTCCCGTGACTCAACAGTTTGGATCTCATGGCCTTCACGTTTCTGTTGTTGATTTATCTCGTTAGCGTGGATTTATTTACGTTAAAGCAGCAGAGTCGTCAGCGAGCTGCGTCCGTCTGCGGCGGATCATCAACCGGATTACCGCCGCCAAGAAGAGAAGCTACGAAGCAGGACGACCTCGGGCTGCTGGGAGTCGTGCTTCCTGCTATTTCTGAGCAGCCACGGCGGACGTCAGAGGTGATGACAGCTGAAGAAAGTGTGACGAATAATGCTTCTAATGAAATCATTCCAGTAGATACCTACAGGGAGGCTGCGCTGGTCCAGGAACCAACTTTAGAGGAGATTATGACGCCTGATCGTCCAAAAGCTGAGCAACACGACGGAAAACCACAACGAAGTCTGTCCTGAATATAAATATTAAAATGTTTTGTGTTAAAAAGGATTCATGTTGGCAGTTTGTACGTGTACACTGTAGGAAACTGGTGCTTTTTAGCTGCTTTTAAGTGCAAAATTGTGAAAAACATACCGTTAATTGACAGATTTTCACATAATAATCAGCAAAATCAATAATCCACATGCTAACCTTAAGGGAAACTGGCCAAAACTATAAAAATACCGTCCAGAAAGTCTGCTTTTTTGCAAATAAATGTGAAGTAAATACATTTAAATCAACAATAATGTCATTATTATTAAATATTGTTGGTATTTTACAGTTGTTGATGCATCCTTGTCAGTCGTGGTGTTAAAAGCAGGAGCGGCATCATGATTTTTATTTGTTCGGTCTTTCATATCCGCCGATATTTTGGACCATTTTCCGAGACAACACCCACAGTTGCTGTCTGATCCTGTAGAGAGCAGAAGCTTCTCGTGGTTCTGTGTCGGCAATCAAAGAGCATCATGGGAGTAAAGGGGCGCCATGACAAAGTCTGACTCTTAATGCTGAATGCTTAATGCTTACCGTAATGTCTGGACTATAAACCACTAGTTTTTTGAACGCTGCGTATTTTTACAAATTTGCCTCGAGACCAAAGTGACGCTGAGATCCACGACAGACAGACTGAGGAAGTGACGAAGGGATTCTGAAGAAGACGACTTTAGTGGTTTCAGTGCAGGAGGAAGATGAAGATAGCGATCAATGACTTTTCCTGGTGGGCTGCTGGAGTTGTTGTTTCCTTAACCAGTCGTGTTACATATCTGTGTACGTTACCGCTACGTATCTAATTAAAAGTTTAAATTAAAACTCTCTGTGTAAATATCTCGTGTTCCAACGTGGACACCTGCAGCTTCTAGACGAGTGCGGCCTGTATATGTACAAACCTGGTTTTCTTTTTAAAGTTAGCAGCTTTTCTCAGGTGCCTCAATAGTCCAGTATTTACGGTATCGTTCTCAAGTAGAGAAAGAAGTCGTCTCGTGGAAGTTCTTGAACTCTAGACGTCAGTTGTTCCGCTAACTTGCCGCTCTACCAAGAACCCAACGTAATGTCTTTAAAAATGCTCCAAAAACACTTTAAAAGCACAAAGAAGTTCACTTCAAACACACACCTCGTACCTTCACGTCTGTCAGGAGTGCTGACAGGAAGCAGGTTGACCCAACAAAGTACTTTCATGACCGTCACATGAGGGTCGATTAATACGATGCTGACGATTAGTAGTCGAGCCGACAGATAAACGACGTTTAAAACTGATGCACATTCGCAGGAAAAGTGAAAATCTTGGTGTCAGAATGTAAAGTAACACAAACCCCAGCGCTAAACATCACACTGGAGCAAAATGCAAAGTTCAGAAGCCAAAGCAACTCACTGAAATGAAAGAACTCCAGCAGCTGCAGGAGGAGTTGAGCAGAACCGCTGCAGCACATCAACCACAACCTCCGAGTTTCCACAACCGAGAGACAATAAATGCAGGTTTGAAGCTGCACAGCGACGCTCTGCGGGAGCTCCTTCATCGGCCCGACGGCGGCTTCCAGCACCAACGCAGAGACGAAGGAAACAAAGGCAGCCGGATGCTAAAGACGAGACGCCTTCTGCTGGAAACCTGCCGCAGATCAACCGTTCCTCTGAACGTTGCCCACCAGCCGGCTGCGTTTCCGCTCGCTCTGCTTTAACCACGTCGTCTCAAAGTGTCGTTCCTACGCGACTGAACTGCGTTCTCAGTTTGAGGGGAAGGTGAGTTTAATAAAAATAAACCAAACTCCTCACTGTTGGTCAGTTTGAAGAGCCACAAAATCCACTTCAGGAGGGAAAGAATGGAGAATGCACAAACCAAACAGCAACAGTAAAGGGGTTTGTTACTGAGCAGACACACAAAAACCAAACAAATCAATGAATATGAGACACAAAATGATGAAAATATGGCGCAAAACGATGAAAAACTGATCAAACAACCAAAATAGGATTCAAAACAACAAAATCAAGACTAATGATAAACAAAATTCCTTAAATTTGACAACTAAACTCAGAGAGAAAATAAATAAATTGAGAGGAATCAACCAAAATTAGACCCAGAAAGACAAGAATAAGATGCAAAAAGAACAAAAATTGAGGCAAAACGACCAAAATGAGATGCAAAACTATTAAAATGAGGCACAACATTAACAAATTGAGACAAAATGGCAAAATGATGAATAAAATGACCAAAGTAAGATACTAACCTGACACAGAAAGACCAAAACGAGACCAAAAACAATGAAAATGAAACAAAAAATGAGACGCAAAGCCAAAATCAGATGGAAAAGGTCCAAAATCTAATTCGTAGCAACAGAAATTTGACACAAAACGAGGCGTGAAACTACAAAAATGGAGGCAAAATGACCAAAATAGGACAGAAAAGTATGAAAAATAAGACAAAAGAAATAAAACTGGATGAAAAACTATTAAATTTGGACACAAAATGACTAAACTGAGACAAAACGGCAAAATGATGAACAAAATTACCACCAAAGTTAGATACAGAACGACAAGAATGAAATTTAAAACAACAGAAATTAGACACAAACGAGACGTGAAGCGACCAGAATAGGAGACAAAACCAGAAGAAAAACGTACGAAACAACCAAAAATTAGACGAAAAACAACCAAACTGAGAAACAAAACAACTGAAATGAGACGAAATCAGACACAAAATGACCAAAATAAGACAAAACAAGACAAGTTTTTAAAAGTTATTAATGGATTTAACTCCTTTGATTTAAAGGTTGTTGCTCTAAACTCTAAAGTCTGATGTGGGAACGACTTGAATCCCACTTTAAGGTTCTATTTGTTCACGTTTATTCAAGATTACAACCAAACGTATTCCGACAGAAAACACGTTTCCCTCAAACTGTAACGCAGGTTTTACGTATAGAACCGTAATCTGGTCGAGGCTGGGTGGTCCACTCACCACCGACACACTCGTATCTACTGATACGGGAGTTCCTTGCCTTTCCGCCACCAAACAGGATCAGAACCACCAGATCCGGACCTGGACCGGCCGTCTGGGAGTCTTACCTGCTTCTCTGGAGAGCTGCATGAAGGCGTCCACCCCCTTCTCGCCGTAGCTGCCCTCCGAGGCCACGGTGGAGACGTAGTTCCAGCCCATGGCCTTGACGATGTCCACCATCGCCTGGGCCTGGAAGCTGTCTGGAGGGACGACGCGAGAGAAGAAGTCGTACCGCCGGTCGTCGCTCAGCTCCGGGGCCGTGGATGCATAGCTGATCTGGGGGATCTGAAGGGAGGAAAAAAACAGGAAATGTTAGGGTGAGATGGAAGGAGGCAACATCTGGAGGAGACTATACATCAATGATCTGCATGGAACGAAAACAGCTGATGAGGAATCAACGTAAGACAACCTGTCACAGGTAAAGGTGAAATACAATCCTTCTTTGGAAGTGATTTTAGGTGAATCGCGTTTTGGGAAGATCCCCAAACGATGATGTAGAACTCCGTCTAAACAACACATACTGAACCATGATCCTGAACCAAAACACCTCCAACTGAAACCAACCAACTTTTCTCGATGCTGAGCTCAGGTTACAGCAACATTTACTCTTAAACTCTTCTATGTGGTGCATTCTGGGACAAAATTCAACCACCCATAAGCACAGAAGGATTGTTCAAAGGACTGACAAGCACATCACAAGACCAGAAAGATACTCAAACCAACGACAGAAACTCGAAACAAATGACTACAAGGACACGGGACTCGGACTCTAAACCTTTCTGAACACTTGGAGCCACTTGAAGCTAAATAGGCACTGTTATTCTGTCTGGGGTTTTTGGGTCATGACCTGGATTCAGACCTGTTTGGACTTGGACGAAGCCCTTTGAGATTGTGTCTCAACCCAAACTCTGCCCCTTTTGGACTGTCTTAAAGTGTTTTGGACTCTATCGTGACCTTTTCTTCTTCCTTTTTGGAACTGGGTTTGACTTGAGCCCAATTCGGAATATGTTCTGAACTGTATTTTTTTTATCTGGACTTGGACTCCTCGACTTATCTGACTTGGACTCTGAGCCTTTCAGATTGTATCGCAACTCAAAATCAACCCATTATGAGCTCTGTCTAGAACCGTTTTCTGACTCTAACTCTTTTGGACTTTCTCCTAAACTGTTTTTGACTTCATCTTGACTTGGACCCAGGTCTTCTTAATGGGCCTGGACTGGACCCCTTTTAGATTCAGTCCCCGTTCAGACTGACTCATTTTAGACCTTTGGTGGTGCTCAGATGTTGCCTTAATAAGCACTGTCATTCCTTGAGGGTTTTTTTTTAATTCTGTGATGACCTGGACTCACATCCTTTTGGACTGGGTCCTGGTTTTTAGACTCTGTCTTAACTTGGGATTCGCCCCTTTTATCCTCAACCCCTTTTGGACTCTCGGAGCTGCTCGGACTTGAACTGATTTCACATCATTTTTATTTTTTTGACTTTATCTTGACTCGGTCTCGGTCCTCTTTGCATCTGTTTTGATTTGAACTCAGCCCCTTTCAGATCGTGTTTTGATTCAGACTCACCTCCCATTTGGACTCAGATTAGACCTGTTTTAGTCTCGAATGGAGCTCACAATCAACTGGGTCCTGGTTTTTGGACTCTGTCTTGACCTGAACTTTGCCCCTTTCAGACTCTTGGTATTGATCAGACTTGGACTGAATAGTGATTTGTTGGACTTTATCTTGACATGATCTTGGTCCCCTTTGGATTCAAAACCTTTCTGACTGATACCATTTTGATTCACTTTGACTTTTCGACTCCATCTTGACCACCATTCTGCTGGTTTCTGATGAGTACATGGATCACTCAGTGGCTGACAGGTACACTACACCTGCCCTGACTGAGTTACTTTCTATCACAGTATCTGCGTTATCAACCTGGATGTAAATATGTCCGGGTGACCAACACCTGGAGAAAGAAGCAACGTGTGGAGAGAAACATGAAAACGAGGCTGCTGACGAGCAGCTGTGCAGGAAAAGTGGATTTAAGAGTTCAGCTGTTGAAGTTAATCACAGCTAATCAATGCAAGATGTTCAGCATGAAGCGTGTTAGATGATGGAAAGCTGTGTGTTTGCTCTAAAGCGAGCCTGACACGGCGAAGAGCGGATGCTTTAGCGGTAATTACATGAAATCTGCATGAGGTCGGGGATTATTTGATCTCTGTCCATCAAGGTCCTCACTAATGGCCGGCAGAAATTAAATTCCATCCTTCAGGAAAATCTCTGAGAAACTGTGAAAGTTGCAAATCCCCCCCAACAGATATTTCTTCCAATTAGCCTTTGATCTGAGGGAGTGGAGACGCTCTCACGCTCGCATTATGTGTGGCTTAAAAGTTCGACGCATGCTAATGCGGCGCAGCAGAAGGTTAAAGCTCTCAGACATCCTGCAGGTTTGTTATTGGGGTTCATTATTTCCTATTTTGCAGGGAGAAAAAAAAAAGAAAATAAACAACACAAAGATCTGGGAGGACTTATAAAATTCTATTTGCAGCACAAACAATTTTTTTTTCTTCTTTTACTGCAGCATATAATCAGCAGCTTATTTTCCTCCAGTTTGCGTCTCTGGAGGCGTTTTTCAGCATCGCAGCAGCCGAAAATCAGTTTCAACCATCGACTTCTTTCAGTGAAACCAAATCAGCTGCTGCAGGCTTCCAGCGAGCGTCCCTCCATCGCTTCAGGAACCAGATAGTTCATCTTTGCTGCATTCATTATAGATGAAGTTCAATTATATACGTTAGGCCATTATTATTTAAATAATGTCAGACTTATTTAAGGCATTTTACTCACATAGTATCTGTATGTCTATTGAAATATTTGTTCATATTGTTTTGTTTTGTTTTGTTTTGTTTTTTTTGTTTTTTTTTGGTCACTAAAAATTTGTTTTTCAGCCAAATGGTTTCAACATTAGGGAACTTTAAGATTTTTTTTTTAATCTTGTAAAAATACAAATTCATATTTCTACAATTTTCCTAACTTTTGGGACATTGTATTTATATTTGTATTGATGTACAGTTGAAACCAGAAGTTTACATCCACTATAAATAGACTCACTGTCTGACGTCAACACTCTTCCTGTTTTAGGTCAGTCAGGATCACCAACATTATTTCTATTTGCTATAATAATGAGAGACAGATGTTTTTATTGCCCTCTTCAAAGTCAGAAGTCTACATCCACTAAGATGCCTTCAAACTATGTGGGAAAGCCCAGATGATGATGTCATGGCTTTGGAAGCTTCTGATTGGTTAGTTGACGACATGTGAGTTAACTGGAGGCACACCTCAAACACGCTGCTTCCTTTTGTGACAACGTGGAAAATCAATCACAACTTCCAGATGCCTGAAGGTTCCTCGTTCATCTGTTCAGACAGTTCTATCAGTATAACCACCATGGGAACGTCCAGCCATCATAGGCTCAGGAAGGAGACGGTTCTGTGTCCAGAGATGAAGTGTTCTGGTTGAAATGTGCGAATCAACCCCAGAACAGAAGCTAAAGACCTTGTGAAGATGCTGCTGAAGCTGGTCAGAGAGTCAGTATCCACAGTGGAACCAGTCCTGTACCGACATGGGCTGGAAGGATGCTCAGAGAGGAAGAAGACATCACTCCAGAAGAACCATAGAAAAGACAGATTACAGTTTGTAGATGCACACAGGGACAAAGAGCTTCATCAGTGGAGACATGTCCTGTGGTCTGATGGAACTAAACCTGAACTGTTTGGCCTTAATGACCATCAGAACATCTGGAGGAAAAAGGAGGAAGCTTGAAGCCTGAGAACACCATCCCAGCTGTGGAGCACGGGGGTGGCAGCATCATGCTGTGGAGGGACTGGTGACCTTCACACAATAGATGGCATCATGAGGAAAGAACATGATGTGGAGATATTGAAGCAACATCTCCAGACATCAGCAGGAAGTTAAAGCTTTAAATGGGTCTTCAGATGGACGATGACCCTCAGCATAGCTCCAGATTAGCTACAGAGAGGCTTCAGGACAACAGAGTCAGTGTTGTGGAGTGGAAATAATCTCACAGTTCTTCAATGTTTTTAACATTTTAACAAAATGTTGATGTTCATTAAATGTTGTTGTTGTCATGGTTGCTTTGTGTTCATTGTGCAGTAATTACTTCCATCTACTTCAGGTTGCTTTGTGCCTCTCTTGCACCTCCTCATGAAGTTGTGAGCTTGTCTTTCCGTCTCTGTCTTTCTCATTTCAGTCTGTGTAACACGTCGTTGCTCTGAACTGATGTCTTCGCCTTTAAAAAAAACCACAGAACTCCCGTCGGTTGTGAGCCGGTGCTCCATCGCTGCCTACGAGCAGCGACAGCCCACTTACTGTCTAATATATCCAGACTGTGACACGCCGCTACCAGATAATCAAGTGCTCATAATGTTTACGGGGAGATAAATATGAGCGCGAGGCCTGGCAGCCGCCCAGAAGCCTCGGCTCTGATAGATTGGACTGTAAGCGTCTCTGCCTCCATCCCTCTTTCTTCCCCTGGACACGGAAAGGTCAGCACCTCGACAGCTTCAATAAAACACGACCTGCGCTGCGGCGCGACACCGGCTAAACCTCGCATTGATCCGAGACGCCGGTGGGAGGCGAGCATGACCCGAGCAGGAGGCGAGGACGGAGGAGGACAAAGGAGACGGAGCAGGACGGAGGAAGAAGGTGACGACAGAGGAGGAGGGAGGAGGATGAGGAGGACGGATCGGAGGCCTGAGAGGAACAACGAGGCAGAAACACGACTCGGTTCAGACGACGTCAGAGAGACGTAGAGTTACAGAACTACTGACGTCTGAGAGGACGTCTGGTACAAGTACTGTAAGTAGTACTACCACTGGTACTGTTAGTAGTACTACTAACAGTACCAGTACTAATACTATTACTATTAGTACTGCTACTCTTAGTAGTTCTACTACTGTTAGTAATATTATTACTGCTCCTGGTACTATGGCAACTATAACTAGCACTACTACTGTTAGTAGCACTGCTACTGCTACTATTACTAATATTATTAGTACTTCTACTGTTACTAGTACTATTTGTACAGGTAATGTTAAAAGTATTTCAACTATTCGTAATACTGCCACAGCTACTAGTACTACAGCTATGATTACTAGTACTGCTACTGTTAGTAGCACTATTACTGTTACTCCCATTATTAGTACTGCTACTACTACTGGTGCTGGTATTGTTGGTAGTACTGCCACTACTGCTACTACTTTTATTCCTGCTATGCTTACT